ATTTTTTTGTGGCAGAACAAGAGATAGAACTCAGGCCCTTGGGCTTGCCAGGCAAGTGCTTATTCTACTGAGCCATCTCCCCAGCCCATAGTTTTTTTTTTTTCTGAAGTGATGAAAGTATTCTGGAGATTAAATACTGATGTTTGGACAGTTTGGTAAATATACTAAAAACCCACTGAATTGTTCAATTTAAAATGGTGAATTTTATGTTGTATAAATTATATTTCAATTTAAAAAAGTTGAGTGAAAGAAAACCTCAAACAGTTCATATTGATTTCAGGTACGTGGTTCAAGCAAAGCTAATTCAAGATGTTAAAGATGAGTAGAGAAGTTGCCTTTGCAGGAGTAAAAGGCTAATGGGTGCAGGGGCATCTGGGGTGCTGATTGTGTTAAATCCTTGGTATTTACATGCAGAGTTTATTTTGAAGCATCATTGATTCTCCATTTGTGAATCGTATACTTGTATGTGCACAATAAAACAAGTTTCTTTTTAATAAGTAGCAAGCTTCCTTGGAAGATACAACTAAAGACTACTTACTTTACTCTTATTGCATGTTAAAAATTAACTATTTTGTTGTTAGTAACTGAGGTCCAATTCTGCCTCTTTTTTTTTTTTAAAAAAAAAAAAGCCTGCACATTCAAAAGTACACTGTAATTAAATAAAAATTATAATTAAACAAAATTATAATTACCCTCCAAACCACCCTCAAAATCTAAACTAGTGATTAACAATTTATGCTTCTGCAAGATTCTCAGATAGTATTCATTAACATTTGTAGTATACCAATCACTGTCACTACTTTAATCAGAACATCTCTACCTTTCTTACGTACTTAAATTGGCTAGACTTGTTGCTAAGAAACTACTTGGAGAGCAGTGAATTTGATGATCCAGAGAAGAAAAATTGAAAGCCCCCCGCCATCCTCCTAAGTATGAGTTAACTTAGGGTAAATAGGAAAGGTGGTTTAAATAAAATTAAGCTAAACACCCTGGAAAAACTGAGGGAGGAGATTGAAAGTTCAAGCCTATCCTGGGCATTGTGGCGGGCTAGATAATGTGGCATGCTGACACTCTGTCACTAAATGGAAAAAAAAAAAAAATGAAAAGGGGGATGTAGTTCATAGCAGAGGCTCTGGTTCAATCTTCAGTATGGCAGAAAACAAGCTGAAGTTTTATGTTTCTTCTTGCCACTGTCATTTAACTGTTTACCTCCTTTTTATCTTCAGGCCAGTGAAATAAGGACTTTTTGGGTTTTTTTGAAAACAGCTCATCTCTCTTCAAGTTGTTTAGCCTTTTTTCCTTTTCTCATCAGGTGTATGTGACTGCTGAGAGCCGCTTTAGCACCTTGGCAGAGCTTGTTCACCACCATTCCACAGTGGCTGATGGGCTGGTGACAACATTACACTACCCAGCACCCAAGTGCAATAAACCAACAGTCTATGGTGTGTCCCCCATCCATGACAAATGGGAAATGGAACGAACAGATATTACCATGAAGCACAAACTTGGGGGCGGTCAGTATGGAGAGGTTTATGTTGGTGTCTGGAAAAAATATAGCCTTACAGTTGCTGTGAAAACATTGAAGGTGGGTTGCTGAGAATTACAGTTTTCAGGCATCTTTTTGTGTGTGTGCTGAATCACTTGGAAATAGCAGTATGCCCTTTAATTTTGGGGACTTTCCACCCACTGGTGCCAGCCATCAGCAAATTGTGATGATTAACTCTACTGTCTTTAGTACCAATGCAGCAGCATATTATCCACTGCAATGCAGTGAGACCTGTGTGTGGGAAAGGTTTGTCTCTGGAGGTTGTCAATATAGAGCTTAGGTGGAGTTTAGAAGCAAATTACGATATAAAGCAAAACAAGCTGTGTGGCTTCCTGAGAATGACCCCTGCTGGACAGAAATCTTTATGCATTGTCCAAGAATCATGAGTCCTTTCTTACTGTGTTTATCTTCCTGCCTCTTACTCCTCCTGTTTCCATGCAATTACATCACTTCTTCTTAAATTCATAGAAATCTTTTCCTGATACTGCCCTGTCTCTTCCTTAAGCATCCTGGTGTCAGTTTACAGGGTTGTTTGCCATGCTTCATTCCTTTCATTCTGGAGGCTTCCATGGCTCTGCCATAGCTTCTGTTCCCTTGTGACCTATAGAGTTGGAAACTCCATAGGTAAATTGCTGGAAACTGAGAAGCCAAACATATGACTGAGTCCAACCCCAGCAGCACTAAGTAGTTGACATGGCAGACATTACCTCCTTACAAAAAAGGTCAAGATCACATCACTGGCAAACAGAACTTAACTAAAGAGCTCTTCATGCCAGCAACAAAGTTTCTTCATTCTATTTATTTATTTATTTATTCTTTCTTTCTTTCTTTCTTTCTTTCTTTCTTTCTTTTTAAGTATTTGGTGCAGGGTCTCACTACATAGCGCAGACTCAGTGATCTTCCTGTTTTCAGCCTCTCCAGCTCTGGGATTACAGGCATGTGCCACCATGTCCAGACTTGGTCACCAGCTCAGCACGCCTGGGGGCAGGGCCAGCGGGACGTGTGGTGGCCGGGATAGAGCCCCTGTGCTTGCCTAAGCAGGCGCTTAGTCTGCTGAGCTATCTTGCCAGCCCTATTCTTTATTCTATTTAACCTAACCCTCAGCACAAGAAAAGGAATGTGAAAAAAAAAAGGCAGCAAAATCCTCTAAAGACTCCCAACTCTTTGAAAACAGACCTAAGGGGCACTGATGAAGACTCAAACATCAAATTTCTGAGCTGTACAGAATAATCAAAGAAGTAGTAAAGAAAGTGAACTCAAATTGTTAAACATGTAGAGGAACCAATAAATTGGTCAGTGTAGTTAAAGAAGAGTCACATGAAAAATTGTAAGAGCTAACCAAAACTATTTGATATATGAATGATAAGCTTACTAAAGAAATAGAGTTCATGAAAAGGTACCAGGGCCATGGATATAGGTAGTGGTGCAGCTCCTGTCTGGTAAGCTCAGGGTCCTGAGTTTGATTACTAGTAAACCACCCCCCCCCCAAAAAAAAAGAAAGAAAGAAAGAAAGAAAGAAAAGGTACTAAAGAAGTATTCTGGAGGAAAAATATTCTGTTGAAGATAAGAATAACAAAAATGACCTATATGAGGAAAGAGTGTCAGACTTCAGATTGGAAGCACAACACAGTATATTCAGAGATATATAAAAAAGAAAGAAAAAAGAAAGACCAATGGCTGTTAGATGGTACTGAGACTGTCCTAAAACCAATTGAAGTTAGAGAAAAATTAGAGGGTAGCACACACAGAATAAAAAAATCTGCTTAAAGAAATCATAGCAGAAAACAAAGTCTGAATATTTACACATTCTATATCACATATAAGTGAGTGATATGATACTCCAAATAATTACAGAAAGAAGCTACTCACAGCACATAATAGTCAGAAATCCAAAATGAAAACAAAAATTAAAAACAGTGAAATCACTTATAAAGATAACTCTGTTAAGAGAGCAGAGTTTTCAGTAGAAATTTTAAAGCCAGAAGAGCTTAGAGTAAAGTGTTTCAAGCCCTGAAAGAAAATGCCCTTTAACTCAGCCTACTATATCATCCAAAACTACCCTTCAAAATTGATGGAGAAATAGATCATAGCATCCTGAAACTAAAAATCTTAGTTCTAATGGAAACCACAGAAATTTTACATTCACCAGGATATGAAATAACACACTCCTAAATACTCAACAGTAGAGCACACAGAAGAAATTAAAGAATAAATAATGTCTAGAATCAAAACTGAAATGCCAGACTGGGCATGGTAGCATATGCGTGTAATCCCGGTGCTTGGGAGGCTGAAAGCAGGAGGATCATTATAAGTCTGATCTGTGTAGTGAGACCCTGTACTAAATACATTAAAAAAAAAAAAAATGTAATGCCAGTACAACATATTATGATCTATGGGACTAAACAATACAATACAAAAACATTAATGAAATGAAGAGCTATTTCTTTAAAAAGAATAAAGAGAATAAGTAAATGCTTAGCCAAACTTAAAAAAGAAAGATCCACATCAATAAATTAGAAATGAGTGGCTAGGTTTGGTGGTACATGCCTATAATCCAACCACTTGGGAGGTGGAGGCAGCAGGATCACAAGTTCAAGGCCAGCCTAGGCCACATAGCAAGATCCTATCTCCAGAAGAAGAAAAAAGAGACAAATTACAATGGAGCACACTGCCCAAATCTAGAAGGTCAGTAGTAAATGCTGTGAAAAATTATATTACAACAAAGTGAATCTAGAAGAAATTGACAGCTTGCTAGATACAGAATGAATTGCCAAACTTGAACCAAGAAGACATAAAACCCATGAAGTCACACAACAGATAGTGAAGTTGAAACAATAATAATAAAAAAAAAAATCTACTGACCGGAAATGCCAAGGACTCAGTGACTTCACCAGTGTATTCTAGAAGAACTTACGGAAAGATAAAATACCAAATGCCACACAGAACTCTTTAATGAAGTTAAAAGGGTAGGAGCAGTTCTAAACTCATTCATGGAAAGTAGTATTACCAAGATGCCTAAGTTAGAAAAAGATCCAACTGAAAAAAACTACAGGCCAATACTAACAAATCACCCCCCCCCCAAAATCAAACATCATAACCTAATAGGCTTTATCCCAAGGATTCAAGAATGGTTCAAAATATGCAAATCAGTAAATGTAATACACAAACATAAAAACAAAAATAAGGACAGAAATCACATGAGCACCTCAATACATGTAGGAAAAAAAATGTTATTTGCTAAATGCTCCTTTTATTTGTAAAGCTAAAGTTGTAGGGTTGTGAGTTGATTCAAAGATTAAGAAAGAGGCATGCTCTTTTTCTTTCTTACGTTACTATTTTTCTAGGAAGATACCATGGAAGTGGAGGAGTTCCTAAAAGAGGCTGCAGTGATGAAGGAAATCAAGCATCCTAATCTGGTTCAACTATTAGGTAAGGAAGCTGGAACCTTAAATTTCTTTAAAGGTGTTTGTCCCTTAGCCCCTTGTAATAGAACAATAAAATAACAATAAAAGTCAATGGTAGATTGCTTATCATTCATGCACAAGGCCATAGGTTCAAGCCACAGTACTGCTGCCCCCAAAAAAGATTTTACTCAGCTCTGTTTCAAACCTAAAACTGTGACCTGTGTTGATTACAAAATATGAAACTTCGCAGCTTATGGCCATTACCGCAAATCAAAGCTCAGAAGTATTTATAACAGTACCAAGGTACTCAGCATGGCAGCACATATATTAAAATGGTACCAAGATAAAAACTGTCACAAGACATTCTCACAAAATTCAGAGATTATTTTACAATGGAAAGAAGCAGATTAAAAATTGTGATGACAGCCATCAGTTTACCCAAACAAGCAGCAAATGCTGTTACTGAAGTAGATTAATGTATCTGTTCAGGTCACAGAGAAACCTTGGACTAAGCCTTTTTCAGAATGGGCCACTTTCTTTGGATGTTCTCATTAGGTCAAACCATTTCAAAGGAACTGATTTTTTGTTGGTTGTTTATAAGGAACTGTCATATGTGAGTGAAGTCCTTGTCTACGGAAACAGTTAAACTTTTTATAAGCATTACTGTAGGCAGGGCCTTCAGATGCCCACCGTCAGCATGCAGTTGAGGGGCCTGCCCATTAGCTCAGTTGTTTAAGTGCCTGCTTATGGAAAGTCAGTCAGGCTCAGGATATTGTGGTTCGATCCCCAGATCCTCATGCCTTTCCAGACCTGCCTTTAAGGCATCCTTTGCCAGCCCCCCTGCCCAAAAAAAAAAAAATCCTTCAGCATGCAGCTGAGGACATGTACAAACTGGAAATTGTAGTGTTCTGGGCACCTTATAAAATTAATACGGGTTACTCCACTTTTGCTCAAGCAAGGAAGTACTCAAAGGCATATGGATTTTTAGAAAACAGTAAAACCGAAGCAAATAATCCCCTTGACCAACTCTTAGTTTTTACTATATTGTATATTATTTTCAAAGAATGTGATGGTAAGAAGGGGATAAAATTGCTGCCAAACTAGACCTAAACATTGTTAAATTGTTCTTGGCCAGAATGGTTTGGAGTATTTGAATATATACTAACAAAATCTGTTCTGCTGTTCATCTGTTAGGCGTGTGTACTCTGGAGCCACCATTTTACATTGTGACTGAATACATGCCATATGGGAATCTGCTCGATTATCTCCGTGAATGCAACCGAGAAGAGGTGACTGCAGTTGTACTGCTTTACATGGCCACTCAGATCTCGTCTGCAATGGAGTATTTAGAGAAGAAGAATTTTATCCATAGGTGTGTAAAACCTGATTGTTACATGTGAATGAGTACAAAGCCATCTTGCTTGACATAAAGATGAAGGGGAAAAAACCTCAGTAATTTTTAGATGATTTAGGAAAGTCTTAATTTCCCAGGGCCTAGTACAATGTTATTTCCAACTTGTAAACTACTTTTTCTGATGAAAGTATTAATGAGAAACTTTGATTTTAAGTACAGAAAGCTGTCTCTATTTTGCCCAGCTCTATATCCAAGATGCTTTTGCTCCATCTGGTGGCTGAATTTTAAAAACAGCAATTGTTTTAGTAAAATGTTTAAATTCTTGTAAAAAAAAAAAAAAAAAAGCATCTTTTGCTGCTCTGTCCTGATGTGCTTATACAGAGAAACCCTTTTTTTTTCTTCTTTTTTTTTTGGCAGAACTGGGGATTGAACTCAGGGCCTTGAGCTGGCCAGGGAAGCACTTATTCTACTGAGCCATCTCCCAGCCCCCCCCCTTTTTCTTTCTTTTTTTTCTCAATAATATCTTTTTTTTTTTTTGCAGTACTGGGGATTGAACTCAGGCCCTTGCACTTGCCAGGCAAGCGCTTATTCTACTGAGCCATCTCCCCGGCCCGAGAAACCCATTTTATAAAACCCTTGTCGGAGCCAGCCAACTAGCTCAACAGATTAAAGTGCCTGCTTAGGCACATGTAGCAACTGGGGTTCGATCCCCAGGCCTGCTGTGCTGTGCCAGCCCCGCCCCCATGGCGCACTGAGACTGAGTGTGGTAGTGCAAGTCTGTAATCCCAGCTCTTAGGAGGCTGAACACAGGCAGATCACTACAAGTTCCGTCTACATAGTGAGACCCTGTAGACCCTGTACTAAAATACAAAAAAAATAAAATAAAATAAAATAAAACCCTTGTTATTCTGGCATCACATTACTTTCTCTTGATGAATATTCTATCAACATAAATTAGTGACTTTCTTCCATGTTAGTGATTATCATAAAATACTAATTTGTCAGTACATACCAACTCTGCTTATAGTACAGAGAACCATGAATAATGTGTTCATGACCATTTTTCTTACTGAGTGGATGAAATCACACTAGAGTTTTCTTTCCCACAGAGATCTTGCAGCACGTAATTGCCTAGTGGGAGAAAACCATGTGGTAAAAGTAGCTGACTTTGGCTTAAGTAGACTGATGACTGGAGATACCTACACTGCTCATGCTGGAGCCAAATTTCCCATTAAGTGGACAGCACCTGAGAGTCTTGCCTACAATACTTTCTCAATTAAATCAGATGTCTGGGGTAAGATTGTAAGACTTTTTCCTGCATGTGTTGCTCTTTTCTTACTTCTTTCCCTGTCTTTCCCTCCAGCCCAGTCTCCCTGCCTCCCTTCTTTCCTTTCCTTTCCTTCTTCCCTTCCTTTCTTCTGTCCTTCCCCTTTTGCATGTACCCCTCTCTCTCTGTCTCGCTTTTTCTATCTCTCTCCCTTCTTTCTCCCTCCCCAGTACTGGTGATTGAGCCCAGGGCCTTCACACTGAGCTGTATCACCCTTTTCTTATTTTGTTTTTTTTTGTTTTTTTGAGAGAAATTGTACAGTCTGGACTTGAATTGGAAATAGTTTTGCCTTGGCCTCACAGAGTACTGGGATTCTAGGTGTGTACCAACACACTGAGCATATATTGTCTTTATAAATGTCTTAATCTTTTTTGGGAGGTGATGAAGACAGAGCCTTAAAATATAGTTCAGGGTGGCCTTGACGTTCCTATGTTAGCCAAGGCTCACCTCAATCTCAGCGATCCTTTTGAATTTTTAAATCAAAAATATTTTTGAGAGACTGGGCATGGTGGCATGCGCCTATAATCTCAGCACTTGGGAGGCCGAAAACAAAAGGATCATTACGAGTCAAATCTGAGTCCAATCTACATAGTGAGACCCTGTATACCCTGTACTAAATACATTTAAAAAAAAAAAAAACTTGAATATTTTTTTATTTGGTACAGGGTCTCACTATGCAGTTTGGACTCATAGTTATCCTTCTGTCTCAGCCTCCCCAGCTCTGGGATTATAGATGTGTGCCAACACACCCATCTATAAATCCCTTAATTCTTTGAAGCTTCCCTTTTACATGATGATCAAGAAAAATACTGTTGGCCAGGCATATCACATGTGTGTAGCCTCAGCTACTTGAGAGGCTGAAGCAAAAGGATTATTTGAGGTGGCAAGTTCAAGACCAGTCTACGCAACATAGCAAGGTCCTATGTCAGTAAAACATGTGTGCCTTCAAAGTGGTCACAGTCTAGATCTCAAACTGAATTACAGTTCTAATGCTTCTTTCTCTGTAGACCTCACTACTTTTTACTTTAGGATTTATTGCTCATTTGCAAAGCACAGTGATAGAGAAAACTTTTTGTCTTTGTAACTGATTTTCTTTATATTGGTGAGAAGCCGAATGAGTCAGCTAGTTGCACAAGTCAAGAAAATAGATATAGTTATAGGAGTCTAAATCATTTTTTACTAGAAAGCACAAACTAAGAAATAATGGAAATATGAGAAAATCAAGCAATTTTTTTTTACTGTGAATTTTATCTGATTTTAAATGAATCAGTTTTTTGTTTCACTCCTTAAATATGAGTTGACTTGGAAATCAAAAAATGGTAATCCAAGCACTTAAGAGGGAGACTGAGATAGGAAGGTTACTGTCGGTTTAAGGCCAGTGGGACTACATAGTGAGTTCAGGGCCAGCCTGAACTATATGGAAAGACCCTCTCTCCAAAAGCAAAACAAAACAAAAGAGTATGAAACTGCACTGGGTGTGATGACACTTGTAACAGCCCTCAGGAGACTGAGGCAGGAGGATCACCATGAGTTTGAGGTCAGCCTGGCCTACGTTTACATAGTGAGTTCAAGAGCAGCACAGACTGTACCACAGGAATCTGTCTTGAAACAAAAGCAAAATAAAACTAAAAACTCATTAAATAGAGCAAAGAATTTTTTTTTTTTTTGCCAGCTCAGCCCACCCTTAGGGGCGGGACTGGTGTGATATGTGGTGCCAGGAATCGAACCGCTGTCCCTGCACACTTGCCTGAGCTTGCCTAAACAGGCACTTTAGACTGCTGAGCTATCTTACTGCCCAAAGATACTTCTAAAATTAGTTGAATTATGCCACAGATTTTGTATATGATCATTGTGTATTTTTCCTCATTGTAGTAAAATAAAAATTGGGATGTTTACAGAAAACTGTCCTGAGATGTTTTGTAGCATTCCTGTGGGAGACATCTTAAACAGTTCGTGCTAAGAGTTGGTGAAAAGGCCTGTTAATATTGTAACAGTGTTTGATTGTGATCCAGAATTTTAAAGACAAAATATGTGATTATATAAATAATAAATCAGAAGAAACATTAGCTCTCTGTTTTCTTAATCCCTTATGCAGCTTTTGGGGTACTGTTGTGGGAAATTGCTACATATGGAATGTCACCGTATCCAGGTATTGACCTGTCTCAGGTCTATGATCTGCTAGAAAAAGGATATCGAATGGAACAGCCTGAGGGATGCCCTCCTAAGGTTTATGAACTCATGAGAGCGTGTGAGTATTTCTGCATATTTTAATTTTGAAGTACCAGCAAGTTGGGATGATTAGCAAAATTGGAAATACTCAGCCTCTCACTGGTTGTTCGGTTGAATTTAACCTCATGACATTTAAATAGTTTATTATTGATCAGCCAGCTGGCATAGTATATTATACACCACTGAGTCTTACTGGAACCCTAAAAATAGCTGTCTGTGGCCCAAATGTTTATCTAGTTTCTTGAAAACATTTGTATAATAGTAATAAACTGGATTTACATACTAAGGTTGGGGGCTACTTTCAGCTAAATAAGGATTGCTAAAAGCTGTGGAGAGTGCATAAAAGTAACTTCTGTGCTAAGTACACAAAAGCATTGGACTGCTGAAGATAAGAAAATGGAAAGTTGAATAGTAAACCGCAGTGCAGTTGTGTTCATGCATAAGTTTTATATTATTTTCTCATTGAGCATTGGCATTTTTTCAGTGTGAACTCTTAAGTGTCTTTCTGATTCTCTATTAACCTATGGATATGTATACTTGATTACTATACAGTCACACTGGGGCAGACTTTATAAACTTTGAGGACAGGCTTTTTAAATTTCATTTCTACTTTAAAGAAAAATAAATGACTTGCCATTATAAAAATCATTTCCTGAGCTGGTGATATAGCTCAGTAACATGGTGCCTGCCTAGCAAGCACAAGTTCCTGAGTTCAATTCCTGGTACCAAAAAAATTAAAAATCACTTCCTTCTCATCTTTATAGCATAGGGAATGGGGACAAAGGCCCAGCTTTAGGAAGTGAGTTCTTGTATTTCTGAGTCTGGAGATGAGATGCCTCTGCATCACTATCGTAATGAACATGCTGTAACTAATAAGCCTACAGCAGTATGCATGTACTTCATTGCTGCATGTGTGTAATTCCGGCAAGGAGCTTTTAATACTCTTTTATCTGTCTACAGGCTGGAAGTGGAGCCCTGCTGACAGGCCCTCTTTTGCTGAGACCCATCAAGCTTTTGAAACGATGTTTCATGACTCTAGCATTTCTGAAGGTGAGTATTTGGTGAATTTACTGTTATCACTGCATTTCAAAGATGGTAAGCTCCTGCAGTTTGTGACTGTTTCAAGATTCCACATTAATTGTTGGCCTCTGTTACTCTGTTTTTGTTTTTTGCCCTTTTTGCTCCAAATGCCTTCAAGGCATGACTGGCTGTTTTTTTGCCCTTTTTGAATGACATCTTATTTCTCTGCCTTGTATATTTAATGTTGAAATTATATTTTTATTAGAAATCAATTCATTCTTAAAAAATAAATTAATTCATTCTGTCCATTAAAAAAATTAGTGTTTGATAGTCCTTTGCATACTATTTATGATATAAGGGGGAAAAAAGGAAGATAAACAATTTTAAACTTTTATATTCTTTCCAAACCACATCAAGACAAAATCAAGTCACAAAAGCAATATCTAGAAATTTTATTTCTGGAAATTTATTTAATGATATTAAGAAAAGGAAAATACAACAGTGTACTTCGTAATATTAAAAAGCTAAGAACAACATAGACATCTACTGGGCTGTTAACCATTACAATTACAGAATTGAACATCACAATTTTTAATATCATTGATTAATATAATCGATTAATTGTACTGGGAGGGAAAGAGGTTTAGAATAAGTTAAACTATCAGCAGAGAAGTATTTTCTTCCCTTTTAATTGAACAGAGTGAACTAAAGTCCAGTTTTAAAATATTTAAAAAGGAAATCAGACAAGTTGATTTTTTTTTTTTTTTTTTTTTTTTTTTTTTTTTTTTTGGAAGGGTCTACAGCATGTTCAGGGTCTCACTGTAGATTGGACTCATAGTGATCCTCCTGTTTATAGCCTCCCAAGAACTGGGATTACAGGTGTGTGCTACCATGCCAATCTCAATTGCCATCTCAATGCGCCTCAGCACAGCAGGCTCTGGGGACTGAACTCCCAGCCCCTGCACCTGCTTGCAGGTGCTTTAATCCGCTGAGCTATTTGACTGCCCTGCAAGTTGATTTTTGTCTGCTTCCCTTACTAATTTGTCAGCTAAGGATTCATCAACTAAGAAAAAAGAAAGAGTGAACTATAGTACCAGAGCTTAATGAGAAATACTTTCTTTTCATTTGATAATTTTTCACTTGTGGGGCCAGCAAGTTAGCTCAGCGGACTAAAGCGCCTGCTTAGGCAAGCTTAGAGAAGTGCAGGGACCACATTTGGATCCCTTGCATCATAAGCCAAACCAGCCCCATCCCACAGGCAGGCTGAGCCAGCCAGATTCTGGGGGCGTAGTGGTACACATCTGTAATCCCAGCTCTGGGGAGGCTGAAAACTGGAGGATAAGTATGAGTTCAAGCTGCATAGTGAGACTCTGTAGCAACCAAATACATTTAAAAAAAAAAAAAAAAAATTGTTGCTTCTTGTGGTGCCCTTAGGCCATCTTTTATATTCTCCTGTTTCTTCTCAGTAATTGAGATCTTCTCAGCTCTATGTTTGCAGTCCACAGCTTTACTGGAACGTCCTTTCTGGCCAAACTCACATTTTAAATCATCCTGCTGGGCTTATTGCTCTTGATTCTAAACAGATCTGGTTAAAAAAAAAAAAAAACAAGAATAGCCATGCCACAGCTTCAACATTCAACTGCCTTGAAATTTTGTCTGCCAGATTAATTAGTCTGTCACTTTTAATCTTAGCTTCAGGCAAAGTCTCTGGACATAAGCAAAATGCAAACAAACTTTTGGCAAAGCCATAACACACATTATCTGGAATCCAACAACCAGTACAGCTCTTCTTCCAAGCAGAAACGTGGAAAGAAGCCTAGTCTTTAACTGCAGGATTTCTTTCAGCCTTCTGGTTTTCTGAGCTCTGACCAGAATGTCCCATACAGAACAGCCTATGGTATTTTGGTTCTAATCTCAGATAACATTTCTGAATCTTTCCAAACTCTTCACATAAGCCATTCCCAATAGTTCATGAACCACCTGTCAGGTACAGTCACAACAATGACCCCACTCCTGGTATCAAATTCTGTCTTTTTGTGACAGAATTTGTTACTTTTCTGTCATTGCTAAGACAAAATACTGAGCAATGAGGGAGAAGTAACCAAGACAGTGAGACAAAAGACACCTAAAATTAAGGAAAGAAAGGTTTATTTAGCTCACAGGTTGTGGAGATTTCATTCAGTAATCAGCTAGCTTCAATGCAGGGTGGCTTGGCACAGGAACAATAGCAGAAGACAGCAAAAGCAACAAGAGCAAAAGGGATTAGAACAAACCTCTTTTCCTTCCTTATATTATAAGCAGGCAACACATGCCTTGGGTGGGGAGCAGGCATAGCACTAACAGTCTCCATGCCCTCTTCTTGTACTGGAAAGGACCCTGGCACCCTGCTGAGTCCCTTAGTTAAACTTGTAAACTTCTCAGGTTGACACATTGTATAAACCATAATAATCCAGTAGCATCCAGTTTACACAGTCATGCAAAGAAAACAGGACCTTTATATAGTGGGTGTATAAATTCTTAAAGCCATTTTGGCAGGACCAAGTAAAGCTGATTGCATGTGTACCCTGAGACCTACCAATTCTCCATCTAGGTTTTTGCAAAACAGATGTGCATAGACATCTGCAAACCAACAAATCATGTAGGTGAGTGTTATCATGACTTATATGTAAAATGTACCAATAAAATTTTTCAAAGGTGGGGAAAAGAATAAGGTCTCAGACATATGAAGAGAGCAGTTCGCAAAGCGCTGCGTGTGGCCTTTTCCAGAGAACTTCAGCAGGTTCTCCAGGACACGGGTCCTGTGCCCGCCTGCAGTGTGGGCTCCCAGCTCTGCCTCGGGCCATGTGTGGTTGGTTCTGGGGACCTTGCCCAGGGCGTGCACAGCAGGGAAGTGTGCGGCTGCTGCGAAGGACTTGCCACCCCCACCTTCACATGGCATCCTCCCCTACTTTCCCCAGGGTGTACTTTAATCTTGCTTTCTTTTTACTGGGCCCAACCTCATAAAGAAGAGCCAGTTTTTCCCTCACTCTTCATGTTTACTTTGTCTAATAAACTTTGCCACTGCTTTTAAAAAAAGGCCATGGAGACAAGTGTTCTTAGCAATGTATTTTATACTAATTAACAACTGGAACCAGCCTGCATATCCACCAGGACAACAGATGAATTTTAGTGTAATCACACATTTGAGTACTACACAGCAATGAGAAAGAGACCCTGCCAGTGACAACATGTGCTTCTCCAAACATAATGTTGAGAAAATGAAACCACACAAAGGAGCAAATACTCTGTAATTCCATTTTTAATTAATTAAGGGGTGACATCTTATACTGTTGCCCAGGATGACCTTGAATTCCTGGGCTTAAACAATCCAGCCTCAGCCACCCACCTAGGTGAACTACAGGCATGTGCTGCCTTACCATGTTGCTGCATTTGTATACTATTTTACATTCCATTTCTTCCTCAATTTTATATCTTGACCTGTAATTTTTTTTTTTTTTTTTTTTTTAAACCAGGAATTGAACTCAGGCCCTTGTGCTTGCAAGGGAAGCGCTTATTCCACTGAGCCATCTTCCTGGCCCCTGTACTGGAGGTTGAACTCAGAACCTCGAGCTTGCCAGGCAGGCACTTATATTACTGAGCTGTCTCCCCAGCCCTTAGTTCATACAGTTGTTGTTTCTGTCTTCACAGAAGTAGCTGAGGAGCTTGGGAGAGCTGCCTCCTCCTCATCTATTGTTCCATATCTGCCCCGATTACCTATACTTCCTTCCAAGACTCGTACACTAAAAAAACAAGTGGAGAACAAGGAAAACATTGAAGGAGCACAAGATGTGGCAGAAACTCCTGCTTCCAGTTCAGCACCAGGTAAGGGTCACTAGGCGTGTAGATGAAGATGGAAACTACTTAGTGAAAGAGTGCAGGATTGGGTTCTTTTGTGGCTATCTTTTCCAAGGACAGTGTGGCATCCCATTCAACTTCCACTCAACTGCTTGATCTCTGAGTCCAGCATGTGACTCTGCCAGTGCTCCATTCCCTCACATTCAGGTTTCCAAATAGTTATAGTTCTGGCAAAAACTTCTCCATCAAGCCTGATGATGATGTGGCCAGTTGTGTTCATTTTTAGGGAAAGATTAAATACTGAGGTCATAAGCAGCAGATCACCTATCCCCACTCCACTTACATCCATATCACATTTAGAATACTACTGTTAAATGGTAATTATTCATTTCTTCTGAGTACTGCCAACACCTAAAACTCAATAAACACTGATAGAACTTTTGTAATTCTGCCTTAGCCATTCTAATGGATTCGTTTCTTGTCTTTCATGTACTTGATTGCCCATTTCTCATCAGGGTTCATTAGAAGTGCACAGACCAGTGGGTCCCCTGCCCTCCCTCGAAAACAAAGAGATAAGTCACCCAGCAGCCTCTTGGAAGACGCCAAAGAGACATGCTTCACCAGGGATCGGAAGGGAGGCTTCTTCAGCTCCTTCATGAAAAAGAGAAATGCTCCCACACCCCCTAAACGCAGCAGCTCCTTCCGAGAAATGGAGAATCAGCCTCATAAGAAATATGAACTCACGGGTAACTTCTCATCTGTTGCTTCTCTACAGCATGCTGATGGGTTCTCTTTCACTCCTGCCCAGCAAGAGGCGAATCTGGTGCCACCCAAGTGCTGTGGGGGGAGCTTTGCCCAGAGGAATCTCTGTAATGACGACAGTGGGGGAGGTGGGGGCAGTGGCACTGCTGGGGGTGGGTGGTCTGGCATCACAGGCTTCTTTACACCTCGCTTAATCAAAAAGACACTGGGCTTACGAGCAGGGAAACCCACAGCCAGTGATGACACTTCCAAGCCTTTTCCAAGGTCAAACTCTACATCTTCCATGTCCTCAGGGCTTCCAGAGCAGGATAGGATGGCAATGACCCTTCCCAGGAACTGCCAGAGGTCCAAGCTCCAGCTGGAAAGGACAGTGTCCACCTCTTCTCAGCCAGAAGAGAATGTGGACAGGGCCAGTGACATGCTTCCAAAAAAATCAGAGGAAGGTGCTGCTCCAACCAGGGAGAGACCAAAAGCCAAACTGTTGCCCAGAGGAGCCACACCTCTTCCTCTGAGAACCCCCTCTGGGGACCCAGCCATTACAGAGAAAGACTCTTCAGGGGTAGGGGTGGCTGGAGTGGCAGCTGCCTCCAAAGGCAAGGAGAGGAATGGTGGGGCACGACTTGGGATGGCTGGAGTCCCAGAGGATGGAGAGCAGGTAGGCTGGTCTTCTCCAGCCAAGACTGCAGCCGTTCTCCCTACTACCCACAACCACAAAGTGCCAGTCCTCATCTCACCCACCCTGAAACATACCCCAGCTGACGTGCAGCTCATTGGCACAGACTCTCAGGGCAATAAATTCAAGCTCTTATCTGAGCATCAGGGCACATCCTCTGGAGAAAAGGACCGACCCCGACGGGTAAAACCAAAGTGTGCCCCACCCCCGCCACCAGTGATGAGACTACTGCAGCATCCGTCCACATGCTCAGACTCCACAGAAGAGCCTCCTGCAGGACAGCCCATGTCAGAAGTGCAGGAAGGAGGGAAAAAGGCAGCTCCAGGGGCAGTACCTGTAGGTGGGAAAGCTGGGAGGCCAGTGCTGCCTCCGCCTCAAGTGCCTCTGCCCACATCTTCCATCTCGCCAGCCAAAATGGCCAATGGCACAGCAGGTACTAAAGTGGCTCTGAGAAAAACCAAACAGGCAGCTGAGAAAATCCCAGCAGACAAAATCAGCAAAGAGGCTCTTCTAGAATGTGCTGACCTACTGTCCAGTGCAATCACAGAACCTGTGCCCAATAGCCAGCTTGTAGACACTGGGCACCAGCTGCTTGACTATTGCTCAGGCTATGTGGACTGCATCCCCCAGACTCGCAACAAGTTTGCCTTTCGCGAGGCTGTGAGCAAACTGGAACTCAGCTTACAGGAGCTGCAGGTGTCTTCTGCAGCTGCTGGTGTACCCGGGGCAAACCCTGTCCTTAATAACTTATTGTCATGTGTACAGGAAATCAGTGATGTGGTACAGAGGTAGCCACTGTGTGTCTAGTGGGGAGATGCACACATTTCTGAAGGGAAAGGGACTTGTTTTCCTGTGTTCTTGTTTTCAAATTGAAAGACTGATACTTGAGTGTGTTTATGTGAAGTACCTCCAACCCCTGAGTTCTCACACTTACAGGTTCATCTCAAAAATAACAAGCAAATCATATTATAAAGGAGGTAGAAATTGGGTAGGGGCAATGCAGTGGTAAACAAGGTTGGAAACTGGAAAAGCAGCGTGTTTGTTTCACAAAGAAAGAAATGCAGCTCATTCCTACCTGGAACCATGTGAAGTGCTAGACTGGGCTGCTCCAGTCATTCTGTACCACAGAAGAGAGCCTTGACCTGCGGCTCTGGGCCTACCAGGGGCGATTGTGCTCCCAATTACCTAGCAGGTTTGGTGGGACAGAAGAAAGGAAAGCTGGGAATACAGCAAGAGTTTGTTCAAGGCTTTTGGAAGCAGCTTCTTGCCTTGCTTCCATCAGTCATTTACTGTGTAGTAAGAGCTGCAAGTCAGATTGCTAGACTATGAAATGGAAATATGGCCCTGTCTGTGTTTCCCATAATGTATTAATTGGTTCAGGAAGTAAAGAATCCTGGGACATTGAGTCAGGATGATCGAAAGCTCCTTTTAAAATCTTACATTGGTTAGCAGTCATTTCTCCCAGGCTAGTACATTATTTCCTAATGGACCAGTATTTATTTTTGCTTATTGTTGGCCATCTGTAAACCATAGGTACAGGGGTCTCCTTGGAGTTCTGTGTCACTCTCTGGGCAGGCTGTCTTCCTTTATTTCTGGCAGCATTCAGGGCATTACCCAGCACTGACTTTGAAAATAGTTGTCGCTACAAGTTCTTATAGGGAAGTCTTTTCTGACAGTGCTTTTGCATATTGACATTCTGGCAAAGCCCTGTGTCCACTACAGTACAGTACTAAGCTAATGATCCCTTCTTGAAACTATAGCTGGGTCCAGAGGCCTGTGATGGAGAAGTTGGCTTAGTTATAATGGCTCTGTCTCTGTTCTTTTCTCCTCATTTATCAATATGGATAGATAGTTGGGGAAGGCATTTTTTCTCCCTATAGGCTTGAATTACCCTCTCACTATTTTCACATGCTTTTCTCCTCTCAAATTTCTGTTCCCATACCTGTCATGTTTGTTTTACATAGTTCATATTGGGGATAATCTTTATTTTGTCATTTCACCTCCATTCAAAGTTCATAATTTAAGGAGAACTGGTTAGAGCCTGGAAACCGAATGACTTAACCCTTAAGTATTTTTTACCCTTGAAACGTAACCCTCTTCCCTTCCCTCCTCAGTTATAATTATGGAAGGTAATTAGGAAGGAACTAAATTGAATAGGTTATATATTATTGATGTTCTTGGTGGTATATCTAATTTTTGTTACTCTTGTTCTTTTTTTAAAACTTTATACCTCCCCCCCACACACACACGTACACTCCCGAAAGAACCCAATGAAAATGTTTTTCCTCCGAAAGGAATATTAGCATAGGAAGATGGGGACTCAGCACTAAGCATCGAGCTTCTCCCTGGTTCAGTCATCGATCCACTGTCAAGCCATAGCCCCATCGCTTAATCTATGGAATGAAAGTAACAGTACATATTCTCAAGGGTGTTTTGGAAATAAATGTATTCACAACCCTTTTGAGAGCCTCTCTCAAAAAGCTCTTCAGTGCAGTGTTGTTACATTGAATTGTTTATCATTCTCTTTGCTGAGTAATAGAAGAAACTAATGAAATTTGGAAATGCTGAGTTTAAATTAATCAGGCTAGAATACTAAAAGAGCCAGGCGCGATGGTGCACTCATGTAATCAGGAGGCTGAAGAGGGAGATCAGGTGAGTTCAAGGGCAGCGTGCACTACGTGAGACCCTATCTCCAAAAAAACTTAAAAAATATAAAGGGGAAACTATATTTTGGTTAGAATTTGGAAACTTCGGATACATTTGACCAAGGAAGAAATTGTTTTCTGTTTAATATAAAGGAAACTTTGATTCTTATCATTGCTGCTTCAAAAGAGGCCTACTTAAGAGAAAGAAGGGAGAAGACTGCCAGGCCTGCTGGCTAGTTTCATGTGACCCCTGTCCACGTGCTTCCTGCAGCACAGTACATGCAGCTGGTGGTCAGGTGAATGTCCAGCACCCAGCCTCCTTCCTTTCCCTGCCCTCATCATGCCCTGGACTTGAACTTACTCTTAGCAGTCTTTTAAAAGTGGGGAGGGGAGGCTAAAATTTTAGAATATTGTTATGCTGCTTTTTAAGTTTATCCCTATCTTGGGATGCAAAGGGATTATAGTTTTCAGGGGATTTTTTTTTTTTTTTTTTAAAGCAAGGACTTTTTTTTCCCCCATAAGAGTTCTAAAAATAAGCCTTTCGGAAACACTACTGAGTGTATTTCAGCTCCCTAGTTTTCTCACCAAAGAGTAATCTTAAAGGTGGTAGGTAGGGGCTCAGTCTTACTCAGGGGCAGCACCTAGTTCTGTCTTGCATACAGTGGGTGCTTAATAAATTCATAAATTGAATCAATTTTTCTTAACTGTCATGCGTAATGTTAAGTTTTGTAGCACACTCCATCCACATGATGCTTGAACTGTATAACTTCAGGGGTTGAGGATTTAGGGTTTGGGTTAAAGAGGCACTGTCAACTTACTATAAAAGTCTAATTTAGGTTTTTCCTTTTTCTACTTGAAAAGGACTAACTTCAAAAAAACGTTATGTAAAAGAAAATATTTAAATCTGAAACAACTGCTTCTAGAAACTTGTAGTTTGGTAGTATCCAGTCTGAAAGCAGAAAGCATGAGAAAAAGGCTTTTTACAGGGTGGTGACAAATTTCTGAAGTGGAGCTATATGTAGAATATATGCCGCAGTCTGTGTCTTTTCATGTACAGATAGTATGATTACAGGTTAGAGTTCATGCCATAAGAATGCAGTATTTCATACTGAATATATCTTGATTGTGTTTCACACAAAGTATTCTCTTAAAAGACTGTATAAAATTAAAATACTCACTTTCCTGTACACCCCAATTATGACACTCAGAGATTTAGCCTTAAAAAAACTCTCAAAAGATTTGTTTTGCACATGTTCTTACAGTGCGTTGAACTCAGTACCAAGCTATCAGGTCTGTTATACGAAAAAATACAGTTGTTGTTTTTCTAGATGACCTTTGTGTAGTGGAGACCCTTTCTGCTTTCCAGCACATGGAGAGGCTGATGCAGGAGGATTGCAAATTCAAATCCAGCTTGGGCAACTTCGTGATTTATAGAGACCCTGTCTCAAAATAAAGGGACTGGGGATATTGCTTAATGCAAAGGCTCTGGGTTCATTACCCTGTACTGTAAAAAAAAAAAAAAAAAAAAAAAAAAATGTTTAAATTAGGAATTTTCTTACAATTCAATTGAAAAGTGGCTAGTAAAATAGTGTTTAGTTAATAAAATGTGCTGACTTTGCTATGGCATAACCCTTATTTATTTAACTAAAGTCACAGAGCTTTTGAGTTTAAAGGATGCATTTTAGATATTGGCCTGGAGTTCAGGCTCTATATAGTCAAAGAGGCCACTTTTTTACCTGCCTGAGCCTCAGTTTCCTCATTGTAACACAGGAATAAGTATTCACTACCTCAGGGTTATTGTAAGGATGAAAAGTTCATAAGATTCTTAGCTTAGGTGCCTGGCACACAATAAGCACTCCATAAATGTTCACTATTAATTGTTAATACGTAACCTAGGAATGCACAGTGGAACCCACTAAGGGTTCTTCAAGGAAAATTGATGAAGTAGACCCACTCCAGATGAAAACTAACAGTGGGATGACGTCTTGGCCAGTGTGTTTTCCAAGAATCTGTCTATGTGTTTGAGAAAACTTACCTTTTCTGAAAAATATCCCTTAATGAAAATGAAACTTCAGGAGAAGATGATTAAGTTACATGCCTATTATCTCAGAAGAGTCTGTTAGTGATTGAACTGAGGTTAAAATTCAGGTGTCTTGACTTCTGGTTATGGGATCTTTCTGCCATACCTGCTGCTTTGTGAAACACTGCAAAAAAGAAAAAAAGTGGCTCAGATAGACAATCAGTCTGCAGTCTGCACACTTTCTAAAGCACATGTTCCCAGCACACTCGCCTTCAGGGGCTTGAATGTTGAGTGAGGGCAACACTAGCGAAACAGGTGTTCTGGAGAACTTGGTGATCTGTAAAATTGTGTGGGGTCATTCTTTTGGGCTGACCTCAGCAAAACAGAGTCTAGCACTTTGTAGTAAAAGAATACCAACTTCAAGTAAAACTAGTCCTACATTCCTTTTTCTTAAAATATGATTCATTATCATTTTAGTGACTGTGAGATAATGTACATGAAAGCACTTTGAGAGATTATCTTATATAACTATAAAGTTGTATTGTGAATGTCTGTGTAGAAGATAAAACATTTAATTAGGTGATGATTGACCTAAAGGCTTTTTATCTGTGGGGGACCTGAAACTGCAGATATATATAAAAAAAAAAATCACCTCTGTAATTTATCATCTTTATAAATATAAAACTATAGTGTTGTGCTAAAGTTGCTCACAGCTGAATAACTTCAGAAAAATGGGGACCAATTTTTTGCTTTAATTCTGATCTTTAAAAAACAGTAAAGTATGTTCATTTTAGAATACAGAATCTCTTCCAAGGAACTTGACTGGAGAAGGATGAGGCCGTCTTTCTTTTGAACATCTCTCCCTATGTGGTCAGCCCTTTGCATCCTAAATGTAGTAGGGGCAGACTTGTTAACTGTTGGTATTGACAGTGTCCTTTTGAACCTGTGTCCTGCATGGTTTTGTGAGGGCTTGGGAGAGGAGATAGGGAGGGGACTGGTTGGACACAGAACCAACCAGTACACTTGGATTTTTACTCTTCTGACATTTCCTAGTAGTTATGAGCGGCATTGACATTCATCATCTATGCTGTCTTTATTCTAAGATGAGTAGCCGAACTTAATTCACCTATTAGATTATGAAATACTCAAGCATAAATGGTAACGCTGGCTGCTTTACAACTACACTTCATCTGGACCTCTCTTACTCCTTTCCATTTTCGTTAACTAATGTCATTGTCATTATTAGGCTATGCCTTCAACAGGAGTTCATATTGGACTGCAAGGTTCTCTATATTTTTGTTCCTGATAATTTTGTGGTTTCATCATTTTGCTTGTGTTAACTTGCACCACCTGGCTCGGGTCCATCTCTGTCCAAAGCATGTAATGGCCAGTCTCTCTTTTGTAGGTAGATCTCTGGACCTAAGTTTCTTCTCATGTGTTGGTAAACTCCCACTGTCTGTATCTCTGCCTTAGCATCTGCCAAGCCAGTGACTTAGCACCTTTGAAAATGCCTGCCTCAGTTTAAAATTTGTGGGTAACTTCAAGGGAGCCTCTGTCCTGCTGACAGGCTTGACATAGACAGCCCAAGGGCATCTGTACCTTCCCTGTGACAACTTGGGAAACTGCTGCTATGTAGCCTCACTAGTGAAGAGGTGAGTCCTTGGGCTGGTTTAGGATCTGCTTATAACAGTCCAGATGTCTTCATCTTTGGAATGAGTTCCAGTTTTCCAGTTACTAGACTTTAAAAAAATCTCATGCAAGCCTGGCTTTTCAGGGCACAGGGAGTCAGTAGTGCCTGGAGTGACAAGTCACCTTCCCTGTACAGCACAACCACGGTTGCCACCTTCATTGCCATTCACTTCTCAGCTCTGTACCGAAGAAAGCATCGATGGGTTTCCAAGCTGTGAGTCAGGCTGCCGTGGAGCAGTTACCCTGGTGAGACTCTCCTCTCCTGCGTGTCTTGGTAAGGTTTATCGTGATGTTCAGACAGATGAGTTTCTGTTCCGGGGCTGCTGTTTTGTGTGCCTCCCACCTGCTGCGCATGGTCTGTCCTAAGTGTATTCAAGATGAGAGTTTTGATTCTGGCTTCTTAGCTTCAAAGCCCAGGGATTTAGGAAGGCTCTGCTCTTTGTAATCAGGGTAGACATTTCTCTACTTCTCCCTGGGTAAGGAGGCCTGCAGCAAGTTAGCTTGATTCTAAGCTGACAGGGTGAGAGAGGTCACCTGCAGAGATTTGTGCCTTCAAAGATGGGTTCCTGCATCTTACAAAGGGAAAGTCTTGTCTGCTCAGTTGGTTTTGCATAGTACTGAATTAGGTCTGGTAGAAACGCACTTCTTTGGATCTCAGCCTATGTCAGTGACTCCCCTAGTTGGGTGTTTTCCTTATATGGTGCTAATTTTGCACTTACTTCAATCCCTTCTGGAGAGCTGAGGAAGGGGTGCTGTCACCTCCTCTTTCCCTCCTTCCAAATGCACTTACTTCTTTGCTCCTATGAACAACTATAAATTTGGAATTGTTTACCTTGCCTGTAAAAGTTGTGTCTTTTAGCTTCCCCATTGCTGAGTAACCTGAACAGAGCAAAGTCCTGTTAACTTGGCCACAGGTAGCAGATGTTCTGTTGAGTGGGTGTGCAGACCTGTAGCCCACTTCAGTGATGGGTGATGGTAGCTCCTGTAGGTTAAGGTATGAGACACAGCCTCATCTTCAGCCCATACCACATTCAAGGTAGAATCATGACACTAAACTCTCCTGTAAGATGTTATGTTCGCCATTGTATTTTCAAGAGCAAAGTTTTGGGGTCCTACATGTCACTCTGAGCTGCTGAGCTGTGTATGTAGGAGACTGAGCAGACTGGTAACCCCATGGGACATGGTGAAGGCAAGTTCAAATGCTAGCAAGTTTTATGAAGGGAGTTGTGTGCCTGGAAATTGACTAGATTTGCTTCTGAGCCTCCAATCAGGAATTTTAAATCATTTTGGTATCTTAAAATTTAGTTGGCGATTGGGACTTTGGGTTAATAAAATTTTCACCTAGTGTACTTAATTTCTGCCATTATAACACAATAGAAAGAAGAAAGAGGCAGGCCAAATAAATTTATTCGTGATTTAGAAGATACTGCAATACACTGCAATGTTTCAGAGCCATCAATTAATAAATTCCAAATAATGCTTGATTTCATTTCTGAGAACCATACCATGTATTTATTATGAGTAGCAGGAATGCCAGGAGACAGAGCTGCTTCTGATAGATGAGGTTTAGGTAAGACAGCTCTCTGTGTGTGTGTGTGTGTGTGTGTGTGTGTGTGTGTGTGCACGCACGCGTGTGTGTGTATGTCTTTTTGAGACCGTTTCGCCGTGCAGTTCAGGCTGGCCTCGAACTCCCAAGTTCAGGGATTATAGGCACGCACACCCCTGTGCCCAGTCCTTTCTTCCATTTTGATGACCTGTTTTCACTGCAGCCATTTAGACTCCATGATGAGAATTTTCTGAGATCTTGAGAAATTACCTTGATGAACCAGGGAAACTAGTATTCAGAAACTAGAAAGAACAATAAGGTACTCACCTTACAGTTCTTTGGTACTTTTAAAATGAAAAGAAATTAAAAACCATCACATCTCATGTCTGCATGGAGGGCGTACATTTATGTAACTGCATATACTCCTGCTGTGCCCATTCAGAAGGGGATGAGAAAAGAGTGAGTCACATCTTCTTTGTGGAGGACAGAAGCAGTGGCGTGATTGGTGTGTTGGCCACCTGAGCTGTTAATGCATATGCAGCGCAAGCTCCCTCGGAGACCCCACTTTGTTTCCCTATGGTCTGATGTGTAACGACTGTCAGTGGAGAGACCCCAGGTTTGTGCTTGCTTGGTAAAAAGTTTGACACTTCTGATGAATAACAGAACTTTGTCCTAAAACATATAAATTCAAAATTTTAAAAGCTCATTTAATGTTTATACCAAAGGTCACACTCTGCAGGTGTGTGTGGTGCAGAGGGTGAGGTCTGAAGTGTGGCGCACTGTGAGTATTGCTAGGGGACACAGGACACAGTGAGACAAGATGGGATTTAACTGCGTCAGTCATGGGTCACACACCAGTGTTGTCAGGTATTTGTCCTTAATTGTTGTTGTAATATATTTTCAGGTATTTTGTTTCCTAATTTAATTCTCTCACTCTGTTGTCTGACTGTGAACTGCTAACAGTGTTAAACTTGATGTAAATAAATGATGCCCTTGAAAGGGACTGCTCTCTGCCTGTTGTCTCACAAGGTTTGCAAGTTGTGTTCTGTTTTAAATAAAGGTTGCAATATTTTATTGGCAAACTAGCCTTGAAGTTGGAGTGTCTCTCCCATGATGTTAATTGACAGGGAATATAAGGTAAAGCGAGGACCCTGGCATGCATTGCTTGGGGTGCTGTCTGCAGAGTGTCCTCTT